TGAATCCTATCTCAACCTATCTTACTACAAATAGAATCACTGGGTCAAACAACATAACCATTGTTAAGGCTGTTGATAAAGGTTACCCCTTTGTCTTCCATAAAAGCCATACCAATCTGCATTCCTACCAGCAAAATAAAGCAGCTTTTTAAAATGTAAAAACAAATTAATTATATAATCGCAAAATAATGTAATATAAAAGAACAGCTTCCAAACCGGTAAACCATGTGCAAACAATGATCTTTGTATTAAATCATGTGACCAGGCTAGATAAACTAAGGTTTTAGACATCTAGGAAAATGTCAGGCTTCCAAACGGCAATCTATATTTTAAACTAACAGGCCTGCTAAAGCATTAATATATTTACATAGACATGTGGAGAGGAAGATTTATGTAAAACCACCACCTTCCTGAAAGCTGTCCCCATCCCCAAATTTTCCCTTTGTCCTTTTTATGCAAGTCTGAATAGACTCAGGATAACTCTAATGCCTAAAACACATTCATTTAGGAAACACTCAGTACTTGGGTTTCAGCAGATGGGCAACCTTACCAACACACATTTTTTTTTTTTTAATCCAAATGATGATTAAAAAAAAGAAATCCTGCCTGTGGCACTGACTCATCTCCTTGGAGACACCTTCATCACAGCACATCAATCAGCCAATTTGGTTGCTTCACATGAAAAGAGTGGGTACAGGAGTTCAAGGCTGCAGTGAGCTATGATTGCACCACTACACTCCAAACTGGACAGCAGAGCAAGACCCCCATCTGTTTAAAAAAAGGCAGGCCGGGCGTGGTGGATCAAGCCTGTAATCCCAGCACTTGGGAGGCCAAGGCAGGTGGATCACGAGGTGAAGATATCAAGACCATCCTGGTCAACATGGTGAAACCCTGTCCCTACTAAAGATACAAAAAATTAGCGGGCCATGGTGGCGCGTGCCTGTAATCCCAGCTACTCAGGAGGCTGAGGCAGAATTGCCTGAACCCAGGAGGCGGAGGTTGCGGTGAGCCGAGATCGCCCCATTGCACTCCAGCCTGGGTAACAAGAGCAAAACTCCATCTCAAAAAAAAAGGCCAGGCACAGTGGCTCATGCCTGTAATCCCAGCACTTTGGGAGGCTGAGGCGGGCAGATCACAAGGTCAAGAGACGGACAGCACCCTGGCCAGCGTGGTGAAACCCCTCTCTACTGAAACTACAAAAATTAGCTGGGCATGGTGGCACACACCTGTAGTCTCAGCTACTCGGGAGGCTGAGGCAGAAGAATCACTTGAACCTGGGAGGCAGAGGTTGCAGTGAGCCAAGATCATGTCACTGCACTTCAGCCTGGCAAAGAAGCCACGCTAACCAAAAGGGTGCCGGGGTCATTTTGGGAGCAGAGAATTACCTAAAATTCCCTCCCTCATCAGCAAACAAGGTGTCAAATTCCTACCATTAGGACTTTGGTCCAAAGTTAGAGTCCCCAGAGCCAGCACCAGTGACATGGGGCTCCCAAAGTCACCACAAATACACTCTAGAGACACCATCTGGACCAGAAGCCTCAAAACAGAAGTCAGTTGGTGACATATAATCCAGCCCTCAAGTCTATTTGCTTAACCAGAATCAAGGTTTGGTTTGTTCACTGTTTTTATTTTTGGCTTCAAAAAAGTTTTTTTTTAATCAGTTGACAATCTTTAAAAATTAAGACAGCTTCTCATACAAATCTACATCTCTGGTTTCTCTTGCAGTATCCAAGGATCTCAACACGGGGTCCATTCATCACCGGGCAACCACAGGTTAGAGCTGAGAAGCAGCCACCCTGTCCTATGTGATGCGCACTCGGGGCTCCACACTGCCACCCTCGCCAGTCGTACAGGATGCCAGAGCAGAGGTCAGCAGCCCCTGACCAGCAGGGCTTGTACTGCCTTTCTGTCAACCTTGTTTCTGTGACACAGCCCGAGCCCGGGAGGACATCTGAGCCTGTGACCCCTGGTCTGATACGAATGATGTATCATGCACACAAATAGGGTTACTGGTCAAACATCTGCAGATCCTGTTATGACTAATACAACCCAAATCCCTTAAGGCGTTACTCAATTCAGAGAACCTCTTGCCGTTAGGGACTGCCTGAAACAACAGACAACAGATATTATTAAGGTTTTTCATGGAAAGGGGGAACTCAAGTTGTTTTGCTTTTTCAATAATAACAACAATTAGAAATCAATTAAGACTTTAAGAAAAAGTAAGAAGAATTATAAGTTCTTTTATTAAGAAAAATTAATGAGGAATATTTTAAGCTTTTTATTTCCTGACTACTGCATACAAAATATTAGGCTTCTATTGAATCAGTGATGTCACAATGAGTGACAGCCTGCCTGGGCCCTTGCAGGCAGATGGAGGGCAGCATGTGAGAGGAGCAGTGGCAGCAGGCACAGCGGTAAGGGTAATGGCACCTGCCTGCCAGAGGCACGACAGCCCTCAGGAGGTGACAGGAGGCCTTCGTCAAAGGACAAGGCATCTGCTCGTCTAAGGAGAGGAAACAAGGGAAGCAACGCTATGACACAAGGTAAAGGTGGAGCTGGGCTTTGTTCCCATTCTAGCAGAGCTGGGACTTCATTTGGAGGTCACGGGAAATCACCCAAGAGTTTTAAGTATTGCATACTTTAGAAAAGTTACCGTGGAGATGGTGTTGAGATGCCTAGAAGAAGAGGAGCTTGGGCTCAGGGAGAACTTAAAAAGATGAATCATGGGAATCCAGGCCTGAAGGAAGGAGCATGGAAACGAAGACAAGGGCAGAGGGAGCAGACCAGAGAGGCCGCGGTGGCTCAGAGGCTGTTTAGACGCCGGGGAATGAGACAGAGCAGGAATCAGGACGATTCACAAAATTCCTGGGTCTGGCAACTCAGTGGACATCAGAAACATGGGACCAACACAAACAATACAGGAGGGAGAGCAGTTACTGGAAGGTGAGGGTGAGTCAGGGAGACATGGAGAACAGGATACCATCTCCAGATGTGTGGCAGCTCTGGATCTAGGCATGACCAAGGTCAGCCCTTGGCCCAGGCTGTCCCTGAGCACACAGTGCAGCACCAAAGCTGGAGGTGCCAGTGTCTCCACCCAACTCAGCTGCCAAGAGCAGCTCCCATAGCATCGCTGAGCCTGAAAAATCCGAATGCTATCTTCCTCACGAAGGCAGAAGCATGCTTTGTAGAGAGTGTCCAAATTACCCATAGCAGACTTTACACCAACATCAGAAGTCCCCTCCCAGCTCCTCTTGGCCTCTGCGTAGGCCACCTTCCTCCACTCCATGATTCCTGTGACAGCACTGAGAAGGTACTCAGGCAGGGCATGGGACTGGGAGGTTTGGGACAAATCTAAACAGGAACAACACTTGAAACTAGCCCTCAAAAGAACCTGACAGATCAGGGAAGATTCGTGTGGAAACACTCCACACACTAAGCAAAGTATGACAGGCCGGGGGAGAAGAACAGAGAAAGAATCTGTGTTAGGTCCTGTTCCCGGGCAGAGCCTGATGTGGGGATTCTCATGCAGATGAGTGCTTGGGGAAGTGCACTCAGGATCAGGAGAAACTGGAAGAAGGGGAGGGAGGCTGCGCAGGAGTTAAGATAAGCCCAGCCTTTTTCTGATCCCCAAAAAAAGCTCTGCATTAAACTGTACAGAGTTTGTGCTGCCAGGGAGCAGGGGGCTGGGTTTGATACTCCTAATTATTGACTTCGGTCAGCAATGTCAGTCACTGGGTACAACAAGGTGACTCCAGGGTGGAGGACACAGATTATCTCCCAGCCATCTCCAGGCTAGACGGTTCCTCTGCTGCAGGGCAGAATCTTCCAGTGAAAGATACAGGCATGAGGTGTTAGCAGCTGACTCACTCAATTAGTCAAGGACTGGGTGCTGTGACCCAGCAAAGGGGACCTGGCCAGGGCACCACCAACATCCACAATGGACAGAGTCCATTCTAGAAGTCCAGGAGAACAATATACATGCAGGGAAAGAGGGAAGGGCCATTCACCATTATGAGTCTTTTCATCTTTCCACCTCTCTGGAAACTATCCAGGAAGTTAACACACTCATCTGTACAAGGTGGTTGAGCACCTCTGAAAAGCCTTGAACATGGAGTGTAATTTTACAAGCCAGACTGAAGACTTACCTCCCAAGTAACTGGGTTTATTGTTCCCTATTGCAAGCAGCAGCCTGCAGTCCCACCTACCTTCTGCCTAAGAGCACTTTAGCCTCAGAGCGAATCTCCTCGACCACACTCGAGCAATAAATGGGCAATCATCCTCAGCCATATAACTAACAACTCTCCTCCAATTTTTATGGTGCCTTTTATGCTGACTTTATGAAGTTTCATGTTTTACTTCCCAGATTTCATCCTGTGCACTCAATGCGCCCCAGGAGTGTTGCTAAGCACTTTTAATTTTCCAAGGAGTATTTCTCTACCTTTCCTTTCCACTAAAGCGTGGCTAAGAAATTGGAAAAGGCCCCCAAAGCAAGTTTTCTGTACGCTGTGTACAATCTGGTCCAAGACATTCAAGAAGGAATTGACTTAAGGAGAACTTCAGAATCATGGCCGGAGCCCCCACCATCCATGATGTTGTTACAGAGTACATCTATGGTCATATGGGCTGCATAAGTAAATTTCAGAATAACAAAATTAACCTTGTAATAAAAGACTATCTGATTATTTAGAGAAAGGGAGCAGGTGTTTGGTGAGATGCCAGAGAAATTCCTTAATTACCCACCAAATCCAAAAGGAAATAAATGATAAAATCAATTAACCCATTATTTATTATTTACTCTGTGATTAAACTTACAGATCAAGCTTCTAACAATACTACGGGGAAGTACTGTGAAGAAAGGGGAGTTTCGGGTTGCTTTCTTAGCTCAGTGCTAATCTGCCTCAATTGTCATTCCTAAAATGCACACACGTATAATTTCAGGAAGGAATGCACCCATCAACTGAAAAAACAGGAGACAATAAGTTAAAATAGCAACAGCTAACCTTTTCAGAGTATGTTCCACGTGCCTGGAACTGTGCAAAGAACTGGATGCATACTTCAGGAAAGCACTGTAAGTACAAGAAATATAAAAGGATACTGAGTTCCTACCTCACATCACAGACACAAGTGCACACAGATGAAAGGCTTAATTGAGAAGGAAAACTCCTGAAACTTGCAGCAGAAAACATAAGAGAATATCTTTTTTTTTTTTTAATTTTTTTTTTAAAGATGGGGTTTCACCCTGATGGCCAGGCTGGTCTTGAACTCCTGACCTCAGGTGATACACCCACCTCGGCCTCCCAAAGTGCTAGGATTACAGGTGTGAGCCACTGCGCCCGGCCCAAGAGAATAGCTTTTAAGGTAAATATATAAGAACATACTGAAATTCTACCACACTAAGACTAAGAACCTCTTGACCTGAGGTGCTATCTGTCCACTGACTTGGTTTGGATCAGAGCTGGAAGCTGCTCTCAGTGAAAAATTTGAGTTGTCAGTTCTGCAGTAGGTTGAAGTAGCAATCTGGGAGTTGACAAAATTTTTTTTAAGTAGGTCTCTGTGGAAATCCTACTTATGTATGCTTGTATTATCTTCCAAGATATTCGAAAAGGGCCTGTCAGGAGGGATGACTGTTTCTGCCAGTAAATGGAGTGGGCAGCAGAATGAAGAGAATATGAAAAAGAAGCAAGAACTTGTTTTCCAAACGCATCACAAATAAAGTAAAAAGCCAAGCTATGAATTAAAAGAAGATATTTGCAACATATATCCAACAGAGGATAAACATGCAGAATATATAAAGAACTCCTACAAACCAATGCAAAAAAGACAACCTAATAGATAACTGAGCCAAAGACCCAAGCTGGAATTTCATAAAGGAGGAAGAAAGAATGGCCTTTAAGCAGGGCGCAGTGGCTCACACCTGTAATCCCAGCACTTGGGAGGCCCGAGGCAGGTGGATCACGAGGTCAGGAGTTCAAGACCAGCCTGACCAATGTAGTGAAACCCCATCTCTACTAAAAATACAAAAATCAGCCAAACATGGAAGTGCATGCCTGTAATACCAGCTACTCAGGAGGCTCAGGCAAGATAACTGCTTGAACCCAGGAGGCAGAGGTTGCAGTGAGCCAAGATTGCACCACTGCACTCCAGCCCAGGTGACAGAGTGAGACTCCATCTCAAAAAAAAAAAAAGGACCTTTAAGCATATGAACATATAATGAGCTGCTCTCTTTCTGATAATCAGAGATACACAAATTAAGATACCAATGAGATATCATGTATACCCACTGGCTTGGCTTGGCAAAATTAAGAATTCTTACAATATCAAAAACTGGAAAAGATGTGGAACAATGCAAATGCTTATACCCTACTGGATGGTATTAAACTGGCACGTCCACTTTAGAAAACAATTTAACCTCATCTTATAAAATGGAACATCCAGATACCCTGAAGCCCATCTGATCCAGTTTGGATGTGTGACCCCTCCAAATCTCATTTTGAAATATGATGCCCAATGCTGGAGGCAGAGCCTAAGGGGAGGCACTTGGGTCATTGAGGCAGATCCCTCACAAATGGCTTGATGCCCTCCCCATGGTAATATGTGAGTTCTCTGTTGGTTCTGTTAGTTCACTCTACCAGTTAGCTCTGTTAGAGCTGGTTGTTTAAAGGAGCCTAGCATCTCCCCCTCTCTCTCTTGCTCCTTCTCACCATGTGACATGCCTGCTCCCTGCTGCTTTCTATCTTGAGTAAAAGTTCCCTGAAGCCTCACCAGAAGCCAAGATGCTGGTGCCATGCTTGTAGTCTTCAGAACAGTGAGCCAAATAAACCTCTTTTCTTTATAAATTACCCAGTCATGCCCGGGCATGGTGGCTCACATCTGTAATCCCAGCAGTTTGGGAGGGCAAGGTAGGTGGATCACAAGGTCAGGAGATCGAGACCATCCTGGCTAACACTGTGAAACCTTGTCTCTACTTAAACTACAAAAAATCAGCTGGGCATGGTGGCATGTGCCTGTAGTCCCAGCTACTAGGGAGGCTGAGGCAGGAGAATCACTTGAACCTGAGAGGCTGAGGTTGCAGTGAGCTGAGATCGTGCCACTGCACTCCAGCCTGGGCGACAGAGCAGGACTCTTGTCTCCAAAAAACTAAAATAAATAAAATAAATAAATGACCCAGTCTCAGATACTCTTTCATAGCAATGCAAAATGGACTAAGTACCAACAATTCAACTTCTACATAAACATCGCAAGGAAAATTCCTGCATGTGTGTACTGGGAGATACATACAAACAGACACAGCAGTAATACTATTCACAGAGGAAGAAATGGTGAACAACCTAAATACCCATCACCAGGATAACAAACTGTGACAAAGTCACACCAAGAATGTTAAACAGCATTGAAAATACATGCACTTAGCCAAGTCAATTCTAAGCAAAAAGAACAAAGCAGGAGGCATCACACTACCGGACTTCAAATTATACTACAAGGCTACAGTAATCAAAACAGCATGGTACTGGTACCGAAACAGAGATATAGACCAATGGAACAGAACAGAGGCCTCGGAGGAAACACAACATATCTACAACCATCCACTCTTTGACAAATCTGACAAAAACAAGTAATGGGGAAAAGATTCCCTGTTTAATAAATGGTGTTGGGAAAACTGGCTAGCCATGTGCAGAAAGCAGAAACTGGACCCGATCCTGACACCTTACACTAAAATTAACTCCAGATGGATTAAAGACTTAAACATAAGACCTAACACCATAAAAACCCTAGAAGAAAATCTAGGCAGAACCATTCAGGACATAGGAGTAGGTAAGGACTTCATGACCAAAACACCAAAAGCACTGGCAACAAAAGCCAAAATAGACAAATGGGACCTAATGAAACTCCACAGCTTCTGCACAGCAAAAGAAAGTTATTAGAGTGAATCGGCAACCAACAGAATGGGAAAAATTTTTGCAGTTTACCCATCTGACAAAGGGCTAATATCTAGAATTTACAAAGAACTAAAACAGATTTACAAGAAAAAAACAAGCCCATTCAAATATGGGCAAAGGATATGAACAGACACTTTACAAAAGAAGACATACATGAGGCCAACAAACCTGAAAAAATGCTCATCATCACTGGTCATTAGAGAAATGCAAATCAAAACTATATTGAGATACCATCTCATGCCAGTTAGAATGGCGATCATTTAAAAAATCTGGAGACAACAGATGCTGGAGAGGATGTGAAGAAATAGGAACACTTTTACACTGTCGGTGGGAGTGTAAATTAGTTCAACCATTGTGAAAGACAGTGTGGCGATTCCTCAAGGACTTAGAAATAAAAATTCCATTTGACCCAGCAATTCCATTACTGGGTATAGATCCAAAGGACTATAAATCGTTCTACTATAAGGACACATGCACACGAATGTTTATTGCAGCACAGCTTACAATAGCAAAGACCTGGAACCAACCCAAATGCCCATCGATAATAGACTGGACCAGGAAAATGTGGCACATATACACAATGGAATATTATGCAGCCATCAAAAAAGATGAGTTCGTGTCCTTTGTAGGGACATGGATGAACCTGGAAACCATCATTCTCGGCAAACTGACACAAAAACAGAAAATCAAACACCGCATGTTCTCACTCATAGGCGGGTGTTGAACAATGAGAACGCATGGACACAGGGAGGCGAGCACTACACACTGGGGTCTGTTGGGGGGAAATAGGGGAGGGACAGTGGGGGGGGTGGGGAGTTGGGGAGGGATTGCATGGGGAGAAATGCCAGATATATAGGTGAAGGGGAGGAAGGCAGCAAATCACACTGCCACATGTCTACCTACGCAACAATCTTGCATGTTCTTCACATGTACCCCAAAACCTAAAATGCAATAAAGTATATAAATAAATAAAATGCACTGAAGTTAGACCCAATAATGGGGATCAATTTTGGAAACACAGTCAGCAAACCAACAAAAAAACTGTTGCAGAAAATGATACACAACGTGCTTTAAAAATACACATAAAACAGAAACAATACAGAGAGATAATACATATTATGTAAAGTATTTATTATTAAAATACTTCATATTATTATACAAAGGCAAAGGAATGATGAACTTGAAACTCAAGAGTTAGTGGTTAAAGAGGGGAAGAAAGGATTGAGTCGAAGAATACCTGGGCAGATGAGCTGCTAGTGCTGATATTCTTCTTCCTAGACTGAAGGGTGTGCTCATGCCTGTTCATTTGCTTACGCTCTATAACATATATGATTGCATATATTCTTTAATATAAACCAAATATTCATTTTTCAAAGATAATCAGATCATTTATTTGTTCTACAATTGTATAAAATTACAAAAATGGAAACACATAAATGTTAATTTAAACCACATAATCATAGATATAAATTATATGGAGTATTTATTATTATTCCCATTTTACTGATGAAGAAACTGAGGGTTTAAAAGGTAGGATAATTTAACACATCCAGTTAAGCGAAAGTGACAAACTAAGTTGTTGTTGTTGTTTTTTAAGAGACGGCATTTCACCATGTTAGCCAGGATAGTCTCAATCTTCTGACCTCGTTATCTGCCCACCTTGGCCTCCCAAAGTGCTGAGATTACAGGCATGAGCCAATGCGCCCAGCCCAAACTAAGTTTTTAATTAGCTTTAAAACCCATGCTTTAACACGATGCTATAGTGTTAAGGTTTCTGCCAGGGAAGAAAAACATTCGATGTCATTCACAAGATTCAAGACTCCCTGCCTAAGACCCCATTAGTGTGCAGCTCTCACAGAACTCCTCCTAGCCTCTGTGCCTTCCGTGAGTCATGGGAAGTATTATTTATTAGGATTTCTTAGCTCTAAAGACATAAACTTACATCTTAACATACAGTCATATGACACAAAAGACTCTTAAATTCAATGAAATTTGCAATTTATGGAAACCCATGATAAAGCATTCTGTTTTAATTTACAAAAGCAAATAAAGAATCCTGGAGCAACGTGGAAAACCATGCCTTCGTACATCCTAGGTGGGTGGAAGAATAACTTTTCTTCAGTGAGGCA